TCATCAACCTCGTCGAATAGTGGCCCACGCCATGGGAAGGCTCCGAACTCCGTCCCATTTGAGCCCGTAGCCCTTCTGGCAGAAGCTACGTCGAGTTTGGCCGAACGGTTCGAAACCACATCGGCGTCCTCACCAACAACCTCCGGCTCCTTCGCCTTGCTGGCCCTCGCCGTCCCGGACTCAGCAGCCTCCGACCGGGGCACCTGTGAACCCCTCTCGCTGGTCCTCGACCTCCTCCTCAACGGACTGCCATCATCACCATCTTCCCCGCCTACACCAGGATCCGGGTCAGAGCTCGGGACAGCAGTCTCGTCAGGGCAGGCAACGACCATTCTTGTTTTCCTTTTCTTACTCATACCGACCCCCAAGGCCTCCTTTTCATCACCAGGGGGTGGCCTCGCCAGCATCTTTTCTCCAAGGCCTGCATATACGCGATGACTAGAGCCTAAGGTAACTACAAAATACGAGACACATGCAGAAAGGAAACCTTACCATATTTCTTGGCCACCTAGCGCTTATCGGCCATGATGGTCCAGGATTGGAAATGATACGGGAACCTCCTGTCCAAGCGCTCGATCCACCTCGCCAAGTCTGGAACCTCCTCGGGATGATTAGGAGAAGCTGGAGAAAGTCGCCAAGAGGATATTACGACGCTCGAAAGAGAAAGTCGAGGGACGATTAAAGAAAAGTTGTAGTTACGCTGAAAGTTCCACCGTTCGGGAAAGGGCATCCATTGGACCGGGATAATGTCCGAGGTGCGCACCCAAACAAACCTGCTCATCCACCCCGGTCCTTCCCTTCATCAAAGCTTGCAAGAAAAGGTTTCTTGGACCGATGCTGAAGCTTGATCAAGCCTCGGTACAACCGAGGATGGTATAATCCGATCAGATGGTTGAGAGTGAAAACTTCACCTGCGATCTCCTCAGTAAAGTGCCTGAGCATCAGCACAATCCTCCAAAAGGATGGTGAGATCAGGCCAAGGGTCACTCGATACCGAATGCAAAAGTCAAGGATCACCGGATCGATGTCCAAGGGAGGAGATTTTACGGATTCATCGGGACCCGGGGTGAACGGGTAGGTATATATGCAAAGAAAGCCTTCCTTGAAACTGGTAATATCGTCGCCGGAGGCAGGAATTCCCACTGTCACTGTTTCATCCCATCGGTAGTCACCCTTCACATTTTTGACATTAGTCACGACACTAATGTATCGAGATACATGCTCGCATCGGCCCGGCTTGGACGCGGGAGCCTCGATGTTGAAATCCTTTGACGTATCAAGCTCTGAAGGGGTCCACTGCTCTAGAAAAGGGGCCAGCCTATTACCCCCCCCCCCCCTCCCGAGCCGACTGGGACGATAATGCAGTATCATTCCAATGGGGTACCGTCCTGGAGGTCCTGGCCATAAATAACGATGGAGCTCTTCCGAAAAGAGAAAAATAGAGAAGGATGAAAATATATCAAATAAATTGGGATTCCGGTTCACAAGCCTAGAGGAAGGGCAAAGATGAGCAGCATCTGGTGATCGGATCGTTTTATAGGAACCAATTGGGGAAGCGGAAGGGACGAGCCTGTAGCAGTTCGTGAAATCCTCGATCGTCGCATATGACGGCGGCCCTGCACAGTTCCCGGGGTTATGGCATTTAATGCTCTTATATGGATGACATCATGGTAATAATGGCCTCGAGACTACGAGGCTACGATTCAGTGTCGTTTCCTATCACTTCGATATAGGAAACGCGAAGACTATCTGTACGCGGTAAAATCAGAAGACTTGATTTTTTGCTATCGAGACATTTTTGGAAGCCTTCCCCGAGACCCGAGGGTGGAAGGCCACGATCGAGTTCTCAGCCTCAGGGCTCATCGAGGTCCGAATCGAAGGAAGCAGGGCCCAAGGTCAGGACAAGAGAGGAGGTCTCCTAAGCACATGGCTACACCTGACAGGACCGGTCTATCTATAGCTTACTGAGAGGACTTGCGTCAGGCCGTCCCATCTTTCTACTCTTGTAAATAATATATACGTACTTTACCGAGTCCCCTCGCCTATATAAGGGGGACTCACCCCACCTTGTAAAGGGACTAATGTTGCTCCACTTCTCCACAATGCAATAATATCTCTCTCTTTCTCTCTCTTTTTCTTCTAAGTTATCACTCTTCATCGACCCCGAGGTCGCCATAGCATTTTATTGTTTCTTCGTTTGATCTTCATCATTTAGCTCAAGATTGATAGTATACAGCCTTACTTACTTATATTTTTATCTGTTATCCCCTTCCTGACTACCCTCGATAAGCCCGAGATAGGCTCGAGGCCTGGCTCCGAGGTATCTGCTGGCTTGCTCTATGCCCGGGAACGTCCCCTTACTGGTTCGAGTATCGCTTTGACTGACTCGATCTTTACTGTTTTACTTAACGTTTTAGCATCAATCACCCTAACAAACTAGCTCGGGATAGATCACGTATTTTTAGAATTCCACTTATAAATTTAATTGTTGTTACCATTTTCACGGTAAACAACCTTAAAAAATAAATAAAATAAAAATGAAATATAGCTTTTAAACCGGGCCGGGCCGGGCCGGTTAACCAGTTGAACAGTAATTTACGTTGACCGGGTTTGACCGGTCTGGTTAACCGGTTGACAAAATATGAACGGACCAAACCCTCTACCTCTTTAACCCAGCCCAACCCGGCCCCCTTGTACCGGTCCGGGCCGGTTACGATTTTAACCGGTCTGGGCCGGTCCGGAAACGGGCTGACCCGGCCCATTAGACACCCATAAATTGGACAGAAGGTAAATACAATGCTGAGAGAGACTATGCTAGCTACGGGTCGCCTTGAGAAATACAGCTCACCTAGTCTCCGTGTCACCCATGTTGCTACGCCCAGTGGGCCACTGGAAATACCTGCACCTGTGCAACAAAATACACAGCAAGTGTAGCATGAGTATGAAAATAACGTATACTTAGTAAGTATCTCGCCTAATCTCGAAGAAGTAGTGATGAGATAGCAACTTCGACACTTACTAATGGTCCAATAATAATATTATTAATGCGATGAATCACAGATTTATTAAGAACGACAGTAAATTCAAATGAGTCACGAAACAGGTAAAAGTTCCTTTTTATTAAAAGCCTCCAGATTCATAATCCATTAATTAACGATTATCTCAAGTCGGTGAGAGCAGATATCAATATCAATAAACTTCACGGCAGGCAATACAAGCATGCACAACTCATGCAGAGGTCGTACGGCCCAATCCAACATAAATGTAAAATGTGCACTGTCGAGGGTCGAACGACGCGAACCATAGATGCATCTATTACCCCGCCCGCGAATCATACATGCGACGCGGTCAAATTTAAGTAAACAATCACCCTGATCGCGAATCATACATGCGACACAAGTACACATAGAAATACATGCTCAAACAGCAAATTAAATATTTATCGGGGAAAATTTATCCAAATAAAAGCCAATTCTCTTTTAACGATTTAAAAAAATGAAGTTCAATTCTCTTAGAAATTCATTTACCAATTTGATAGGATTTAAGAAATTCAACTGTCAATAAGATTACAGATATTCCAAGTATAGCATGCTTTTGGGTCCTAGACTACCCGGACTTACATGCTAGGCGGAATCACCCCTCCAAGAGACCCAAAATCGCCCAAGAAATGAGTTAAATGCGGAAGGAAGACCGCTTCTGCGGTCTGGGCCGCTTCTGCGGACAGGCCCATCGCTTTGCGGTTCCGCTTCTGCGGATTTAGGGCCGCATCTGCGGTCTTGAGCTACCTGGCCTTGGGCCGCTTCTGCGATAGGTGGACCGCTTCTGCGATCTCGTACCTGCGGTTTAGCAACAGCAGGTGCGGTTATGACAACAACCAGCAGCTTCGGCCTTTTCCAAAAATTCTATTTCGATCCGTTAACTACCCGAAATCTACCCGACGCCCCCGGGACCCCAACCAACTAGGCAAACCAGTCCCAAAACACATTACGAACTTGCTCGAGGTCTCAAATCATATCAAACAACGCTAAAATCATGAATCGACCTCCAATCCAAGCTTAATGAACTTTAGAATCTCAAATTCTACATTTGATGCCGAAATCCGTCAAATCACGTCCGATTGACCTCAAATTTTGCACACAAGTCATATTCGACATTATGGACCTACTCAAACTTTCGGAATCGGATTCCGACCCCGATATCAAAAAGTCCACTTCGGTCAAACTTCTCAAAAACCTTCAAATTTCTATCTTTAACCAAATGACTCCAAAATGACCCACGGACCTCTGAATTCACTTCCGATCGCGCTCCCAATACCAGAATCACCATACGGAGCTACTCCCAGACTCGAAATTCCAAACGGATATCGATAACACTAAAATGCACTTCAACCCAAACTTATGAAATTTCTTCCAAAATGCAAACTTTCACAATAGGCGCCAAAACGCTCCCGGGTCATCCAAAACCCGATCCGGGCATACGCCCAAGCCCGAAATCATCATACGAACCTGCTGGAGCCTTCAAATACTAATTCCGAGGTCGTTTACTCAAAAATCCAATCCTAGTTAATTCTTTCAACTTAAAGCTTCCGAAATGAGAATTCTCTTTCCGAATCAACTCCGAACTTCCCGAAATTCAATTCTGACCACGCGTACAAGTCGTAATACCTAAAATGAAGCTGCTCACGGACTCAAACTGCTGAACGATGCACTAGAGCTCAAAAAGACCGATCGGGTCGTTACACTATGGGAGATTTAGAGAATTTTAGGTCGATGGCATTGTAGTCGATGAGGATGCGAGTTATAGCATATTGATTTCTACAATAGCACAACAATTAATGATCGATACATCCGAAAAAATTATAGAAATCAAATATATTGTCAACGAGCATTGTCCTTCAATGAAAATTAGGAACGATATGGATGTTCGTGTATACATGGAGACGAAAAAGGAAAACAAAAACTTAGGATCATTTTGCTATGTTATCTATTCGCGATTTCAATATGGAATTGAGTATCACCAATGAGAACACATTTGCAGGTTTGTGCTGTTATATTTTTTATCAAATTCTGGTTGTATATCAATGTCCTACAGTTTATCTATATTTTATCTACCAATAAACTGCATGTCAGAATAAATATATATATCAGTATGGATTTTCACAATATCTACAAAATTTCTACATTTATTCTATAATAAACTACATATCATTTGAAAAATTAATATGAAATACAGAATTTTAATGTTTCTACAAAGTATCTACAAAATTTCTACAAATCGTTCATAACAGAATTTATCTTTATTTTCATGCAGGTTCGTCTGGAACACTAAAGATACATGATATGCCAACATCTCCTGTTATAGAGGAATATGAAAGTATAATAATAACAAATAATACACCAAGTTTTATTGAAGTAGGACAAGTATACCAAGACAAGCAAACAATTGCAACTGCAATGAAGCACTATTCTGTCATGCACAAGTTGCAATTCAAGGTTAAAAGATGTAGTGCTAGAAGGTATGAACATTTCACTTGCTATTCTTTTTTATTTTGTAGTTTATTTGTAAATTTTTACTTCTTCAGTTTTTTTTGGTGATATTATTTAACAACATTGTGGATAGTTTGTAGTTGTTTTGTGTATATATTGTTGTATATGATCTTTTATGCTAAAACTATTTTTTTTGTGGTCTACATTTTTTATACCAGTGTTTAAATTGCTTTTATTTTGTAGCTATTGGCTGGTATGTGTTGATGAAAATTGTAAATGGCACTTCAAGGCAACTAGCATAAATGATTCTGCAATGTTCAAGGTTAGAACATTCAACAGCTTGCACACATGCTCTTTGATGGACAGTACATTCATACAACGCAAACCTACTGCCATGGTAGTTGGTAGCATGGTTATTCCAAAACATGCTGATCCTAAGATAATTTACACACCAAAAGACATACAAAGTGATATGTTGTCTGAACACGGCGTGAACTTAACATACATGCAAGCTTGGAGAGCAAAGGAAAAGACTTTGGAGTTTTTGAGAGGTCATCCTGCTGACTCCTACAGCAAGTTGCCTAGTTATTTGTATATTCTGGAGAAGACTTATCCGGGGTCTGTAGTTAAATTGAAGAAGACGGAAGATGACTTCTTCTTGTATGTATTTGTTGCAATTTGTACGTCAATCAGTGGTTGGGAATATTGTAGGCCAGTTGTAGTAGTTGATGGGACCCTCTTAAAGTCAGCATACAGGGGAATCATGCTAACAGCTAGTACAACGGATGCAGCAGGTATTGTAGTTTTATTGTAGAAATCTTGTAGATATATTGTAGTTTGTCTGTTTTTTTGTAGTACTTGTAGATTTATTGTAGATATATTATTGAAAATTTGTAGTTTGTATGTATATGTCTTCCTCTGCATTTTTCCCGCAGTCAATTAATTGCTATTTGCCACATAATGTAGGTACCATATTACCATTGGCATATGCTGTTGTTGATTCAGAAAATGACGCATCATCGAAGTGGTTTTTTGAGCAATTCAAACATGCATATGGTGAAAGACCAAATATGTGTGTGGTTTCGGATCGGAATAAGAGTATCTTGAAGGCAACATATATTGTTTATCCTGGCATGCCACATTATTCTTGCATGTGGCATATTTGGACAAATATAAGGGCAAAGTTCAAGAAGGGTCATCTAAAGTTAAGCGAATTGTACTTTGCCACGGTACGATCATACACGCTTGATGAATTTAATGAAAGGATGTCAAAGATCGAAGAGATTGACCCACGTGTTAAAGCATACTTATACGATATTGGCTACCATAGATGTTCTCGAGTACATGCTACAGTAAACAGAACTTGGACTATGACATCAAACATTGCAGAGTCGTTGAATGCTGTAACAAAATATGCAAGAGAGCTGCAGATAGTAGAACTATTAGAGTATATGAGGACTCTTCTTGAACGTTGGACGAAGGAAAAGTGTGACGACCCAAAGGGTCATCACCTGTATTCCTACTCACTCTGTTTTTCTGAGGCTGCGAAAACCTTACTTGGGGGTTGCCTCGAGTTTGTGTGCGCAGTCCGGGCACGTAGGCGGAACGTTTAAATATGAATTTGTGAGAAAAATAAGAAAATATTGATGTTTTAATTGATTAAGTTTGACTTCGGTCAACGTTTTGGGCAAACGGACCCGGACTCATGATTCGACAGTCCCGGAGGGTCCGTAGGAAAATATGAGACTTGGGGGTGTGCCCGGGATCAAATTCCGAGGTCCCGAGTCCGAGGAATGAATTTTTACGTGAAATTGTTTTCTGAAAATAATTAAAGAATTGGAAAGTGTTATTTGTTTAGAAGACTGTGCTGTTGGGCTCGTATTTTGGTTCCGACGCCCGGCACAAGTCTTAAATATGAGTTAAGCAATTGCTGTGAAGTTTTGTTAGTTTTGGACGTAATTTGACGTGTTTTGAGCTAGAAGCAGTAAAATTTGATGTTTCATGGAAATTGGAAGGAAATCATGGGTCTTTAGGCCTAATCTGATGTTGTTTTGGCGATTTGATTGCATGGATGAGTCCGTAGGATGTTTTTGGAGTTATGTGCATGTTTGGTTTGGATCCCCGAGGGCTCGGGTGAGTTTTGAGTGGGTCCCGGGAGGGTCTTAGACTTAAAAGTATCAGAAATTTGCAAGTCCAGGTGTTGCAGGCCCCCAGCGTGGCCACGGTCATTCCCGCGCGGTCCGAGCTGGAAGCCGCGCGGCCGCGGTGCATTTCTGCGCGGTCCGCGTGGCTAGGTTTAGAGGGCCAGTAGTCCTAGGTCGCCCAGCGCGGCCGCGTGCCATATCCGCGCGGTCCGTGCTGGGAGATTCAGAGAGTGGGAATTTTGGTCCATTCCTCTAGCGCGGCCGCGCACCAAATCAGTGCGGTCCGCGCTGGGTAGGTTCAGAGAGTCATTTCTCTTCCCTACCTCGGCGCGGCCGCGGTGCATTTTTGTGCGGTCCGCGCCAGCCTTCACTAAAGTATATAAAGTCGGGATTTTCAATTTTTTTTACTTTTTCAAAACCCAAAACATAAGTGGCGATTTTCCAAACGATTCTACTTCTTCAAAACGATTGGTAAGTGATTTCTAACTGATTTTTCTATACTCCTTAACATCCTTAAACATAACTTCAACTTCAAAACAAAGATTTTAATGGGGGAATTTGGGAATTTAGGGTAGAACTAGGGTTCCTAAATTTGGGAGTTTTGGACCTCAATTTGAGGTTCGATTCCAAAATAACTCACATATTTGAGTTCATGGGGGAATGGGTAATCGGATTTTGGTTCGAACCTCGGGTTTTGACCACGTGGGCCCGGGGGCATTTTGGAAAATTTTGAGTAAAACTTTGGGAAATTCACTTTTCATGCATTCAAATTTATTAGATTAGCCTTTGTTGATACACTCAAGCAATTTGTGACTAGATTCGAGCGGTTTGGTGGTGAATTCAAAGGGTAAAGCGATACTAGAGGCTTGAGTTGAGTTTGGAGCATTTGAGGTAAGTGTTTGATCTAACTTTTGCTTGAAGGAATAGGATTAGAATGTTATTAATTTCTAATTGCTAAATGATCGAGTACGGTGTATAGGCATGGTGACGAGTATCTATACACCGGTGTCTAGCATGACCGTGGGTCTTTGTATGTACTTATCCTGATATTGCTATGACTCCTCCATGTTAATAGATGAATTTTATGCAAAGTGAAGGGTATGAGAACTAATTATGAATTGCAAATACTTTGGAGCGTTGGCTCGAACGATAAACAGACTATTGAGTAAGAAATGAAAGAAATAGTAAGTGATATAAATAATCCCTTGCCGGGATGTGAGAATATTGTTGTTGCTCCCTTGCCGGGATTTAGGTGATAATTGTGACTCCCTTGCCAGGACACTTCTTTTTATTCGTTTAGCCCCTCGCCCCGTTTGGTTGTGATCATTGTTTGGGTGAGGAAGAGTGATAATAAACGAAGGGTCATTCCGTGCCATGTTTTGATTATAATTGCACGAAGGGTCATTCCATGCCATGTTTCGATTATATTTGCACGAAGGGTCATTCCGTGCCATGTTGTGATTATATTTTGCACGAAGGGTCATTCCGTGCCATGTTTTGATTATAGTTGCACGAAGGATCATTCCGTGCCATGATATGAGAGTTACGTGAGGGAAAGCACGAAGGGTGATGCCGTGCACTTTATTTAATTGCTATGGTGAGAATGAGAGTAAAAGCACGAAGGTTGAAGCTGTGCAACTGTTGATTTTCCTGCTCTCATTAATTATTGTTATCGCCTTGTTTCTTATTTAAATTGTTGACTTTAAACCCGGACTGTACTCCCCCATAGTATGCTTCCCTCCCTCTTAACTGTTTAATTTCTGTACTCTTTCCTTGTATTGCATATATATATTGAACTGCACAGGTTGACTTGGTAGTCCTGTCTAGCCTCATCACTACTTTGTCGGGGTTAGGCCAGGCACTTACCGGCACATGGGGTCGGTTGTGCTGATGCTACACTCCTGTGCTCTTTTGCACAGATCCCGGTACCGGAGCGACTTTTGGACCACTGCAGTAGGATATTGATCGGGAGCTGACTTCAGTCCAGGGACTTATGAGGTAGCCTAGCTGGCGTTCGCAGGCCAGAGTCCCTTTCTATGTTTTCAGTTTGTCTTCATTGTACCGAGACAGACACATTTTCTATTCAGACTTCTTTGTAGCACTCTTTAGTAGTTCGTGAGATAGCGACTCCAGTCTTGGGTAGAGAAATATTAAGACTTCCGCATTTATTTAAGGACTCGTTGTTTTATTATTGTTGTGTTGTCATTCAAAAATGTTTAAAATGTTTGGCTTGCCTAGCTCCGTTAGTAGGCGCCATCACGACTCCCGATGGTGGAAAATCCGGGTCGTGACAAAAAGTTATTGAAAGCAAAGGGTACATTCACATACCTTGGGTTTAAATTCAACAAAGAGTTGGATGACAACAGAACATTGTCGCACAAGCTTAGAGTAAGATCTGATCATTTATTGCATTAAATTAATTTATACAGGACAATCTAGATGATTTGTAGATATTTTGTATTTAACCGTATATGAATTGTTTTTTTGTTTGCAATGTAATTGTAGGTGAGGGCTTCAACAGACTACATCCATACAGTACTAGATGGTGTGAGGCACTATATTGTTTGTCTTGAAAACAAGAGATGTAGTTGTGGGCAATTCCAGCTTGATGAACTTCCTTGTCCACATGCTTTGGTTGCTTTAAGACAGAGGGATGAGTCTTTTGAACAATATTGTTCTCCCTATTACACAAGGAAGAACCTATTGCATACTTATGAAATACCAGTAAATCCCCTGCCTGATGAAAGCAAATGGAATGTGCCACAATATATATCTGAAGAAGTAGTAAATCCACCTACAAGAGGGAAAAGGCATCCAGGAAGACCTCAAAAAGAAAGATATAAAACATATGATGAAATAAATTCAAAGAAGTACAAGGTTTCATGTGGCAACTGCGGAGGAGAAGGGCATAACAAAAGATCTTGCAAGAATGCACCCAAAAAAAACATTTATGTAGTTAACAAAATATTTCATAAAAATTGTTGGTGAGTTCAGGATAACAAAATTTGATGTGTAATTGTTGAGGTTTTTTAAGATCATAATATAGTTAGTTAGGATTTTTCTGTATTGAGATAATACTTTCATAGAGTGATTTGTTTATGAATGATTTCTATATATATAAGCTACCACTTTTTTACTATCTCTAGCATCCTTTACGTAGTTGTTAATGTTTTTTGTGCAATTTATCTACAATAAAACTACAAAAAATTATATTAACTGGAATTGACAGAATAACTACATTATAAATCAGTAGGAAAGGAGTTATATACTAAAATATTGTAGATCAAGTATTGTTTACATTCAACAAATGAATATAAAAGCAACAAAACACATTGATAAATATTTTCTACAAATTATGTACAAATTCAACTACAAAAAAATTACAATAGCTGGAGCTGACAAAATAACTAGATTATAATTCAACTAGAAAGAAGTTATATGCTAGAAATAATGTAGATCAGGTACTGTTTACATTCAACAAATTGAATGTAAAAGCAACAAAATGTTTAGTTACTGATTTTTACACTTTATCTACAGAAAAACAACAAAATAACTACATATTTTTGCATTGACAGAATAACTGTATGAAAATTCAGTTGGAAAGGATTTATATGCTAAAATATTGAAGATCAAGTACTGTAAACATTCAACAAGTGAATATAAAACCAACAGAATGTTTCCATTTGAACTACTATACTGGATAAGAAAAAAAATAAAGGCTACTATAATTGTAGCGCAAGTCTGCTACAATTAAAACACAACAATATTGTTCAAAAACTTCTCTACCATCTTTCTTCTAAACTAGCATCGACTAAACAATAGTACTACATGTTCCATACAAAACATTACAACTACTTCTTCTTCCTCAGGACTCGTGTTTTCTCATTCAAAGCTGGTGCACCTTTTCTCCTTGCCAATTTTCCTGTCACCTCACTTTCACTAATTGCCCCATGCTCCTGCTTCTGTCTAGCATAGTCCCAAAGTAACGCTCCATAGCGTCTACGATGTTGGTCAATATCAGAAAGGTCTTCTGCCGGAATTGATAACTCTCCAAGACTAACATACTCTGCAAAGGCAGCAACAAATACACCACAATCGCTACAAAGATAGAAAAAATGTCAATATTTACCAAACGATTAGAAAAAAAGGGTTAAATGTATAGAAAGAAAGAAGATTTTTATTACAGTGATCCTTCTTTTTGTTGTGGTATCTCTCCGACGATCCATTGAATGCTAAGAGGGTCGCTAACAGATTTCTCAATGTATGCCTTTGTATTCTTGAAGTTGATGTCTTTACGCTTCCCATAAAAACCGGTGCATGATAAATACAAAGGGATAATAATAGAAAACTTGTCGACACAAGATTCAACAATAGGGTGATTGCGTGAGGAGACCATGGAATCATACGCATAAAGTTCTTTGTCTGCAATGTCAAAAATAACCAACACCCAGTGGAATTTTTCTACAATGTTGACGGGCATGATGACATAATCAACTTCATCCCATGCAACAATTGCGAGTAGTCTATACCCCAATAAATATTCTGCTACAACGTCCTGGGGTTTGACAATAGAAAACTTCATTTCTTGAGGAGAATTTTGGAACTTTTCATAAATTTGTTCAATCCTAGTCTTGAACAAACAATCTGTTGTAGTAAACCTGGTATTGTTTTGGGGGCCATACTTGCTATCCGGCCCGTCGTCACGTGAGTTACCACCCCGTTTCCCCCATTTCCTGCTTCCTTATGTTTTATTATACGAGTCATGGGTGAATGAGTTGATTTGGATTGATTTTGGATGAAAATGAGACACTTAGTCTCTCTAAGGAAGGTTTGAATTGAAAAAGTCAACCGGATGTTGACTTATGAGTTAGAGGGCTCGGATGTGTTTCCGGTGATTTGGTTAGCTTCGGAGGGTGATTTGTGACTTAGGAGTGTGATCGGAATTGATTTTGGAGGTCCGGTGTAGAATTAGGCTTGAATTGGCGAAGTTAGTATTTTGGCGAATTCCGGTTGATAGGTGAGATTTTGATCCGAGGGTCGGAATGGAATTCCGAGAGTTTCTGTAGCTTTGTTAGGTGATTTTGGATGTGTTTGCAAAATTTCAGGTCATTCGGAGGTGTTTTGGTCGTGTTTTTGATCAAATACGTATTTCGGAAGTTTTTTAGAAACTTAGGCTTGAATTCGGTGAGAATTGATGATTTTAGCATTGTTAGATGTGTTTTGATGATTGGAACAAGTTTGAATAATGTTTTAGGATGTGTTGGTGTTTTTGGTTGAGGTCCCGGGGTCTCAGGGTGATTTCGAAGGGTCAATCGAACAAATTCTAGCCTTTGGGAGTTGCAGAAAATGCAGCAGTCAGTGCAACAGAGATTTGGTCATCGCGATCGCGATGGGGGTGTCGCGATCGCGTAGAGGAAAAAGGGGAGGTTGGAACTTTGTTCTTCGCATTCGCACTCAGGGGTCGCGATCGCGTAGTTATGGGGGCTAGAGCATCGCGTTCCCAGTATGTCTTGTGCGTTCGCGTAGTAGGATTTGAGGCCCCTCGGCATTTGTGCTTCGCGTTCGCGGCACAAGGCTCGCGTTCGCGTAAGCTTAAGGGTCCATACCTTCGCGTTCGCGTGGGTGCAACCGCGTTCGCGAAGGGTATTTTTGGCAGAGGTGGATTTTGTTCACCGCGAACGCGAGAGGGCCCTCGCGTTCGCATAGAGGAAAATAAGCCTGGGCAGAAGGTTTTTATTAGACATTTCATCCGCGAACCAAGTCTCATTTCCACCATTTTTGAGTAACCTTGAGAGCTATTGGACGGAAATTGAAGGAGATTTCGACTAGGTGTAATTAGAGGTGAGTTCCTCGACCTTAATACATGATTTAATGGTAGAATTTACATGGAAATTTGTGGAAATTCATCAAAAGAGGGTAAAGCTAGGGCTTGAGAATTTGGTATTTCAAAATGGAATTTGAGGGGTCAAATGGACTCCGATTTTGGTAAATTTGATATGTATAGACTCGTGGCGAGATAAGGAATCCGGTGATGTTAATTTTCTGATTTTTAGAGAAGTGGGCCCAGGGTTCGGGTTTTGCCAACTTCGTGAATTTCGATGTTTTTCGAGTCTTTTCGATTGGGTTATATTCCCTTAGCCTATTGTAACGTATTCATTGTGGTTTTGGCCAGATTCGATGCGCGAAGAGGTTGATTTGCTAGGCAAGGGCATAGCGAGCTAGGATTTTGGCCTGCTTGAGGTGAGTAATGGTTATAAATGATGTTCTGAGGGTTTGAAACCTCGGATTTGCACAACGTAGTGCTATGTTGAGGTGAGACACACGCTGCATGATGAGTGTGGGGTCCATTACTGCTGGGGATTCAGACTCGGTCCATCCCGATTGATGATTCTATTGTATTTTGACTGAGCCTTTATTAACATCGTTGATTCTGGACTAGTTGCCATATTTGGGGCCTTGTGCCGACCTGTAGAACCCTTAGGGGTAATTGTACATGATTGACCTCACTTTACACGTTAAAATCATACCCTCAGTCATGTTTCTAACTGTTTAATCTAATATGAACCGGCTTTGGAATAACTAAACCAAAAGGAGAGTAATATGTGGGCTGGGATCCCTATCTTAACTTAGTATGCCCGAGAGGCTGAGTTTGTAGTGACTGAGAGGGGTTTAGAACCCCATAGTGAGGGTATTTGATATGTTATAGATCGGGCTGCGCGCCGCAGCAGTATATATTATTATTGGATCGGGCTGCACGCCGCAGTAGTATATATTTAATGGATCGGGCTGCACGCCGCAGCAGTATATTATTGGATCGGGCTGCGCGCCGCAGTAGTACATTCATATGGATCGGACTGCACGCCGCAGTAGTATAGCGCTTGGGCTGTAGGAGCCCCTCCGGAGTCTGCACACCCCCAGTGAGCGCAGTCGACTATTATTATTGGATCGGGCTGCACGCCGCAGATATATATATATATATATGGATCGGGCTGCACATCGCAGCAGTATACTATATGGATCGGGCTGCACGCATGCAGCGATATAATTATGATTTCGGTTGTCGTGAGGAATAAATGAGTTGAGTACTGGCTTAAAGGATTTTTACCTGATTTCTTCATTCAGTTGCTGTTTAAATGTTCTTACTGCTTCGATATAGAACTGCTTAGTGCTTTTTATGAGATTTCTTTCCGTCAGTCATTATTTATTGCTATTACTCACTGAGTCGGAGTACTCACATTACTCCCTGCACCATGTGTGCAGATACAGGTATTTCGGAGGCGTAGATTGAGCTGTCTCTGCTGTTCAGATCGCACCGGAGTCATCGAGGTAGCTGCATGGCGTCCGCAGTCCCGATTTCTCCCTCTATCCTCTTTACTTTCAGCATTTTAGACTATCTTTTGTTTAGGCTGTTCCTCAGACTTGTATTAGAGGCTCTTGACTCGTGACACCAGATCGGTGGGATTTGTAGTGATATTTCTTGATTTCCGCACATTTTATCTTCTGTTACAGATTTATAATCATGTTAATTTGGTATTTAAACCCTGTTAATTGGTAATGAACTCTATATGAGGGATTGAGAGTGTTGAATTGGTCGGGCTTGCCTAGCACTGTGTTGGGCGCCATCACGACCGGGTTGGGGTCGTGACACTTTTACTCAAGTAATACATTATAACATCAATGTGCTGCAACAAAAACAGATTGCATTTATACTACGAGTTATCTTCAAATAATCTACACAAAACTACAAAATAACTACAATTACATTACAAACAGAAAATAAAGCATCTACAATAAGAATACAAATTATCTACAAAAAATCTATAAATCAAATACATTGAATCTTACCGAGTCTTTGGGGACTTGTCTGGGGTGTGCCAGGGAAAAGAACCACTCCTTCTTGTCAACCTTTTCCACTCCAAGATCTAACCTTGGCTTAATTTGGTTGTCCTTTATAGAATACAGAGCCTTCCTCCTATATAAACAAATAG